AGATCTAGAGGAGATCTGTGTGGAGGAGTGGGCCAAAATCCCTGTTGCAGTGTGTGCAAACCTGGTCAAGAACTACAGGAAACGTTTGACCTCTGTAATTGCAAACAAAGGCTTCTGTACCAAATATTAACACTGATTTTCTCAGGTGTTTAAATACTTATGTTCAGCAGTGCAAGACAAATAAATTCTTTAAAAATCATACAATGTGATTTCCTGATTTTTTGTTTTAAATTCTGTCTCTCAGAGTGGGAATGCACCTACAATGTGAATTTCAGACCCCTCCATGATTTCTAAGTGGGAGAACTTGCAAAATCCCAGGGGTGTTCAAATACCTCTGTTCCTCACTGTATATGCAGTCACTCCAGTGTTGTCTACATATCATCACTATGGATTTTAGACCATGCCTGCATGTGTGTTGAGACAGCCACCAGGGACACATGTGGCAGGGTAATCACACAGGGACATATTTGCAAGACAGTTGTCACACTGTAACATAATATTACTGAACAAAAACCCTGGCATGATTACCAGGTATTATGTTAATGAAAATTGCAGATTTAAAGATCAGTTCAATTAGTACTGTAATGCAATCAGGCTGCCAAAACAGTAATAATAGAGGGATTAATTTTCATGTTTTTTCAAGACTATTTGCTCTAGTAAATAATGCCTGTTGCTAGTAGCATGCTACAGAGTTTGACATTTGCGCAACACATAGTGCAGCAGTCTGGATCTCTAGTGGTACGATATTCCCCCTTGCCCAGATCGTCAGTGCTCTGCTTGAGGAGTGTGAGCACTGTTAATTGATTCACTTGGCAGGGTATGCGTTAGACCTCTGCGCTCTTTGTTGAGCAGCAGTCTGACTTTCTGGTATGCTGCTAACACAGACTATTTAAACCCTTGCTGCGGCAAATAGAACTGTTAATCTTTTTCTTATAAGTTCTCAATTATTAGCGATTGTTTACACATTCCCGCAATGAATTGTAGTGCATTACCATATGTTGTGGTGCGCTGCAACGCAGGTGCATTGGGAGAGGTGTATTGCGGTGTCATTCTGAATAAGGATGTCAGCCCTGAAGCATGCAACTGCTATATAAACAGTAGAAAATAATTAATTGATATATTTTGTAAAAACATTTGATTACAGAAACTAAAACTTAGCAAGTGATCTATCAATGAAGAAGAGTTATGACGTAGATGTTAACCATTGTAGTTCTGACAGTTCAGACCCAAAACAGGATGAATCACATGCAAAGTTTCTTCACAGCTCTGTAAATGTGGTACCCACATATTCACTTCTTCCAGCAGTAATCTGTTCTATGCCTAGACCTGAGATGCATATGAACTGTCTACTTTTTGTAAAATGTCTTGTTCTTTTGTATCCCTACCAATCTTATCAATTTGCATTGAGAAATTGCTGATTTATCAATAGCAATATTAATACCACAATACTTGTTTGTGAAAATTCTGATGGTGCACAAATGGAGTCTATCATTTTTATACTTATGCTTTATACATTGGGGTTAATTTACTAAACCAGAAGATTGCAGAATCTGGTGCAGCTCTGCCTAGAAGCCATTCAGCTTCCAGTTTTTTTTATGTCAAAGCTTAGTTGAACAAACTGAAGTTAGATGCTGATTGGCTACCAACCCCATTATATTTCAGTAAACTTGAAAATGAAAATGGCACTCTAGTAGACACACCATGTTTCTTTGCTATCAAAGAAAAGACAAACAAAATATTATCAATATAATCAGCACCCTTTTATCCTGAAATACAGACTAATTGTCTTCAGTGAAAGCCTAGATTGAGGCTACAACTAAAGTCGGCCATAGACGATTCAAATCTTGGCCAGTTCAGAAGGGACAGACCGAGATTCAACCTATGTATGGGCAGGCTGAATGTACCCAAGTTAATCAATTGATTTGACTGTGCATGCAATTATTGCTAGTGGCTATTATAGCCACTAGCAGTAATCACTGTGTTATCACAGCAGGGACGTCCCCCTGTCCCCTGCCTAGAGAACACAATGGCTCTGCAGGAGGGATTCCCCTGTGGTTGCAGGAAAGAAAATTGCTCCATCTATGGCCGCCTTTACATGCCCCATCACCATTACCAACCACTGAGTCCAGTATACTTGTCCATTCTTGTCAGACATAACTTTATTTAGCACTGACACAGGAGGTGCCTATCCTAAAAAGTGTGTTAACGTTGCAATTAATATGCAGCTTGAGCAGCATGAGTTTTGGACTCCACTTCAAATTCTGGGGCCCACAAGAGTTTTTGTCATAATATGCAAGTATGCAACAGCATATTTGCACATTTTGGCATGCTTACCTTAAAAAGTGCCTCCTCCATCAATTCGAGCTCTTACACCCCTCACTCCATCACTGATGCTTTCATCTTCTCCTGGTTTTCTTACAGGTCTAGACTCTTCAACTTCTTCAGGTCGGGAAAATGTAACTCTTATACATGCACACTTACATTCCATCATGCCCAGATTACGCACCGGGCTGTGCATGCACACTGTACAATTTGTAAAGCTGTCAGAATACACAGATCAGAGCTGCAGCCTACTGCCTGCAGCAGTGATCGAGTGGCTTTTATCCAACAGGGTGGTTGAACAGAAGTTGAACAGTAGATGGACTTATGTTCAACCACAGTGGCTACACATGGATCAAAATGTGTCTGGTCATTGCTGAACCAGCTGAATTTCAATCTATGTATGGCCAGCTTTACTTCATCAGGCTTATTGTTCCCTACCTTTTGCCTTCCACATAAATATTTCAACCCCACACCCAATAAATGAGAAGAAAACAATGAAGACATCCGTAGAGGAAGTACATTGTTCATTGCTACTATAAAACAAGGAAGACATCCGTAGAGGAAGTACATTGTTCATTGCTACTATAAAACAAGATATTCATATAAGATACTCCAAAGACATGCTGTTAGGTTAATTGGATCCTGTCTAAATTGGCCCTAGTATGTGTACGTATGAATGTATGTTAGGGACCTTAGATTGTACACCCCTTGAGGGTTAGGGACTGATGTTAATGTACAATATATATGTAAAGCATATGTCAAGCGTAAATTGACGGCACTATATAAGTACCTGAAATAAATAAATATTCAGATATAATGAGCTCAAGACGGGCATTAAAGCGGAACTAAAGTCTGCAATACTTTCCTTCAATGGTCTGACATCCCTCACCAGCATCTGCTACCCAGCTTTTTCCAGGAGCCAGGCTATGGCTATTTACTTTGGCCAACACAGGATGACATCACTCCTGTGCATGCACAGGAGTTCAATCATCCCGGCATACAGGATCTGTCCCGGAATGTAAACTGAGCTGTGATTGTGCAGTTCAGTGTAAATTCTAAAGAAGGCAGTATGCAGGTAGGTAGATTTATTTTATTGCAAAAAAAATATGAATAGACCCTAGTCTCTTCTGTCATTAACCTCTTTCCCTCCAGAGGATTTACCTCCCTTCCTGACCAGGCAATTTTTTTGCGATACGGTGCTGCAGTGCTGACAAATGAAATTGACGTCCTTTTTGCAACAAATAGAGCTTTCTTTCGGTGGTATTTGAGCGTTTTTTTGTGTGTGTTTTTTTGTGCTAAAAACAATAAAAGACCGGCAATTGTGAGAAAAAAACAATATTTTTGACTTTTTGCTATTAAACATGTCTAGTGTAAAAAAATTTAAAGTCAAATTTCATCATAAATTTAGGCCAAAATGTATTCTGCTACATGTCTTTGCTATAAAAAAAATCCTAATACATGTAAATTAATTGGTTTACCTGAAAGTTATAGCGTTTACAAACGGCGGTATATATACTGGATTTTATTTTTATACTAGTAATGGCGGCGATCAGTGACTTATAGCAGGACTGCGGGACTGACACTGGGGGGAACTGACTTGGTGTCACTGATATTCCCAGTGACACCAATAAAGTGATCAGTGCTAATAAAAAGCACTGACACTGTGCTAATGGCACTGGGCAGGAAGGGGTTAAAAATAAATAAAACTTAGGCATATGTACTAGTAATACCTAGAGATACTATGTTATATGGAATATATATTGTTTTATAGCATAATCAAGGATCACTTGAGCGCCTGTTTCATTAAAGCTCCATTGCTTAAAATGTTGATGGTGTTTAAATAATAGCTTGTCTTATTGTTATTACAAAAGAAGAAAGCTTGTCTCTATTATAACTATACAGGAACAGATCTTTTGAATGTATCATAAGCCTTAATGAGGAATACAATCATTCGGAGCTATAAATAGATGCATTATTAGCAATGGCAAGGAGCTGCTGATTTGCCAGCGTGCTGAAACTTCAAAGCGCTCTAATGAGTCCATCTATATTCTAAAACATGGCAAATCTGTAGGTATATTTGACCAAACAAATGATAGTACATGTTGCTAGAAAACAGTTTACAACTACAAATGCTCCCACCGTTTTCCCAGTGTGGTTGGTTTACTTGTGCAGCTGTCATGTGGATTGGAATGAAATCCTGCTGCATTATTCAATGTCAGGCACATTTGTACAGCTGTATTAGTAATTCCTTTAGTCATCTCCTTTTGTAGTTGCCATGACAACAATTTCTACTGATAGTGCTACCTCTCCAGTCCAGAATTTTTTATGCTTCTTAGCTATTTCGTTACTTGGAAAGCAATTGAGTACAGTAAGCATTGGGAGCCGCCTTTGTTTTCATGTATTTCAAATAAAATTTTGTACTGGAGGAGAGAGAGAAAAATATGGCAAGACACTCAAAGTGATTTAGTTGCTTTGTGCCGGCAGTTATGTTTCATCGCTGTTGTTCTGTGTTTGATTCATACCTTAGACATTATTTTCATTGCTTTGCTGAAAATGTTTTATGTATCTCAGTTCTGATGTTTATACTTAAAGAGCAACTCCAGCCAAACATCTAAATGCATGGTTAAACACCTGTAAGGCATGTTTCACCTGCCAAATGATGTGCAAAGTAATATACCCCTCTGTTGTACAATGCAAGCAATTAAACTGTTACTATATCCACAACAGTCAAATCAGTCTGTATATGCAGTAAAGCATGCTTGTTATACTCACTGTGGAACCTAAGGGGTTTAATACTCCGCATTGTGATCCTGACTTCTCTGATCCTCCCCTTCTTCCAGTGCCCCCCTCTTATCTCCCGATAAGACATATTGTGTGAAGTCACTTTGCACATGCTCAGTTTTGGTGTGTATTTCAACAGAACTTTTTTTTTTTTTTCTTGGGAGAGTGCATGTGATCAGCACAGGGCCAATCAGCACTGTCCAGACAGAGGTCAGGGGTCCTGCACCTTCCTAGAACAGAATTAAAACTCCTCCTACAAGCTTTAACATGTGCTCGGCTGGACATGGATAGAAGTCACAAGACTGCTATATACTGCTGATGAGAAAAGGTGTTTAGCAGTTTATATTTACTAAAATAATTGCACTTCCATTTTCTGTGTACTGTGGGAGATCAGATATAATGAATGCAGGGTCCTGGGTTTAGTAACACTTTAAAATAGTAAGACCCTATACCACTGTCTCAAAGACAGCCTGGTCACTCTTTGGACTATTCAACAGCCTCCCACTGGTCACAGTCACATGAAACTCTTTATTTCTTCTAAGACAACTGTAAAATATCGTATTGTCTCGATATTTTATTAACTTGTATTGATGAGAAATGTTTAGATAGAAAGTCCTTCCACTGCTTGTATAAAACTCAAAAAGATGATTTAATAATAACGTTGCATAAAAATAGAAATAAAATATTGGCATACAGAATGTTTAAATAATGTCCAAAAAATATAGTTAAGTTCTTGATAATAAGATTGTATATATGTATATGTGTGTGTATGTGTGTGTGTATGTCTGTCGCATCAAGGCTGCTAAAGAGTGAGAGAGACTCAAACCTTTGTTCTACTCTTAAAAGAGCAATCCAGCCCCCAATCTCCTAAAAGTGGGTTGGTATTCTCTGGTAGTTCTACTAAGATAATTGCTTCTCTCAAAGTCTGAGTGTAACTTTATCTCTTACATAGATGGGGGAGGATGGGGGAAGGTATAGCTAATTGCTCTCATATGTGGCTTGAATGTAAAGGAAAAACCCAAGATATATGTTCACAGACTCTGAAGTCTAATTCCTTACTTTTCCCAATCTAGAACAAATATAAATATAATAACTCAATTATTCTATTAAGATCCAACTCATTCATACTTATGTTAGTACTGTTAATAAGAAGATATTAGATATTGGGTTAAGGAAAGCTTCTAACATTTCCCTCTCAAAATGATCGATTTTATCGAATCTTAATCATTTTCCTTATCTTAATCCATTTATACACATTCTCGTCACTTTCGTATCCATTCATGCGTTTTTGGATCTTAAAGACAGATAATTGATCTGAACATATTTTAATTTGATTCTATAATGGGAAAACAAATTCTTTGATAAACCTTTTGTTATGTATCACATAAAAATATTTTTTACCCTTATTATTTTCCTTTCCTTTCACCAAATAATTCATCCCCTTAATAAAATGTATAACTGTAACATATATAGTAACAATACTTTAAAATATGTCACTTAAAAAATAGATGTTTCATATTTTTCCCTCCAAAATGTGTGTAGCACACAGTTCTATAATCCATACATTTTTCAAATTACCTATATCAACATTTAAACATAACATATGTTTCTCTAACTTCAATCCCATACATGTATATCAAATGATTATTTTTTTTTTAAAAACATACATATAACAATGTAAAGCTTGCCTAAGTTTTCTCTATATTGTACCTTAGAAAAACTTATCTCTAGCTTAATTTAACAACAGATGTTCTAACTAAGTAGAGTGACTCTGTTTGTAACAAAAGTTTAACCTCTTCACTTCTGAAAGTACATAGTGTGTGATTGCAAATGTTCATGTGAAAACTGATCTCATCTTGATATGGTAAAACATATTATGTCAAAATAAAATGTACACACAAAAAAAAACCAATAATATCTGATGAATGAATTATTTCATCAGTAGTCAAAAGTCAATTGTTTTATAAGTTCTTCCTCTATGAGATGCCTTGAGATGTCTTGTCTTCTTCTTCTAGCGCTCTGTAAAGTTAAAATAACTTTATTGAACATAAAAAAGAACAACAAAAAACAATGATGAATGAAATTCTTGTTGCAAAGCTTCTTCCAGAATAAATTTCCTTCTTGAAAATGTATTATCATCTGAAAGGTTTTAGAAATATTTGAATTTTCTTCCTTTAACAGTTACTCTTAGGTCATTTTCCTGTAACAGAAAATGCAGTATCATTATTTTGGCATAGATAATTTATGCATTGATTAATCCTCTTACATTTATCTGTTAACATTACATATCACAATCACAAACATTTCTAGTCATGACATGGAAGACATATTTTGATTATAACACTTCTATTGACTTGTAGTGTTCTAATTTTAGAATGCGGGCACTTCCGCCTAACAATACTAGGGGTTGCTGATGCAAATCCCAACCATGGCATCACCTGCCTGGAGTTTACATGTTCTCCCTGTGCTTGTGTGGATTTTCTCCAGGTACTTTTTTCCGGTTTCCTCCCACACTCCAAAATCATGTTGGTAAGAGAATTTTGCTTCTTATCTAAATTGCCCTAATATGTGTATGTATGACTGTGAGTTAGGGACCTTAGATTGTACACACCTCTTGAGGGTTAGGAACTGATGTGAATGTACTATAAATGTAAAAAGCACTACATATAAAATAGTAAAATTGACGACGCTATATAAGTACCTAAAAATAAACAAAAATAAATATAACAGGACGCTACATCTCCATTATTGGTCATGATTCAAAACCTTGGTTTCAAAACCAAAGAAAGGTTTTGTATCACAACCAGAGATGACAAAGGATCATGCCTTTTGATCTTATCTCTATAACATTGGAAAAATGCGTAACTGTTTTCTGTATTGGCTCACTTCTTGTAGTGTAAAACTGATCTGCAGTAATACATAACCTGGTTTCAAACTTTTCTCAGTTCCTATGTTGAAAACATGAGGTACAAACTCTCACTTACAGCTGAAACAAACATGTGTTGGTATGTTTTCCTGAAAAGGTCTTTTTGTTACATCTATCTGAATGTTTTTGGAAGACAGTGTTTTTGTACCATATAGGATAATTTTTCACAGTAATTTTCTGTTGAACCATCTTCCTTTAGGAGTTTCAATGATGAATCAGGTGTCTGAAATATAATCTTACTTGATCTAACAATGTTTTTCAGTTATTTTTTGACTGGCAAAGAAAACACTTAACAACTTTTTTCATATGTGCATCAAAGTTTTTCCCATAATTTGTCAAAGTTCTTGAGAAGAAACCTATTATTTTTCTGATTACCTTTCTTTTAATTGTGACAAAGTTGCTGAGATTAGAGCATTAATTGGAAACCATTGGTTTTTTTTTCTTAGTTTCTAAAACAAAGGAATTTTACTACAAAACTCAACAGTAATTTAATGTAGTAGCATTCTGCAAATCCCGTTTCAATAGTTCAAAAGCTTCTTTCTTTTCAGTTTGATCCCATTGATCAAATACTCCATCTTTTTGTCTCAAACGATCAAATAATGATCTAGACCCTTCTCTGCAAAATTGGGTATAAAATCTTTACAATGGATTTACTTCACTCAAAAATTGATGCAAAGCCTTTGCGATTTTGTTGGAAATTGGATAAGCAGAAATAATTCTAACTTTTTCTTGCAACAACTGTCCCTCTGTGTCCATGACTAAATTTGCAATATATGAAGGAAATTCCACCTGTCTTTTTTCATCAACTGACACTTTCTCCGTATTCAATTTCAATCCTGCTGTTTGTAACAACGTAAAAATCAATTTCAGACAAAAGAGTGATAATGTTCAGTTATATTTATTTTGTGTAGACAAAAGAAGCTTGTCTACATGCTGGACAATACATTCTGGCCTAGAGAATTTAGATAATATTTTTCCCAAATACTCATGAACAATGCCATCACTTAAATCTAAGCCCTGGGCTAATCTTGTGAATGTATAAGTTTCTTTGTTGAAGCTAAAGGCAAGTTTATATTGACAACTCTTAGCTAAGGGTACTGACAAATGACTATTGGCAATTTCAAGTACAGTGAATATAATTTTGGCCTTGGCATCCAGATGTGACATTTATGTTACAATCAGGAACAATTAGATTTGTTATTTGTGATGCATTTGTTCAATGTCCTGAAGTCAACTGATAAAGAATATGAATTATCAGCTTTGATAGGCCAAATACAAATTATTCACCACTGATTGTACTTTCTTTAAAATTCCTTGCTGTAAAAACTCATCTACAATGGAAGAAATTGGATTAATTGATTCTAATGGCAATTTGTATTGAGGTTTGAGGCTTAGGGTCTCTACCTTCAATGTCAACTTCAAAATTGTAAACAAACCTACATCATTTTTGCTTTGACTCCAAAGATCCTTATGTGATATAACCAATTGTTCCAATTCAAGATTGGTTCCTGTATGTGGCCATTATGATCTGAAGACATGTCAGCAGTTTGCTGTACAAATACTTCCAACATTACAGTACATGGAAGAATCAATTGATTTGATTTGGGCCTTCCCACTTTCATCCAATAAATTTGGAGCAACATATTCCAACAGTAAAGAAGAATCTTCGATTTGATACCTGATTTAAATTTCGGCAATGGCAATAAACCATTCCTGTTAATGACAACAGCACTGTTTACCATATTGTTTAAGCTGTTGTTGACTCTCAGTGAACTGATCTTTTTTAACTTCTGAGGCATAAGGCAACTCAGACAGACTATTGTTGGAACATGGAGGAGCAGATTGTTCAGAAATTATATTTTGGTCTTCTAATTCCAAAGCTTTTCTTTGTAAATCTAATTTATAATGAATACAATCTCTTTTCAAATGACCAAATCGTTTACAATAGAAACAAATAGTATTTCCTGTCTGCTCTGAGACTCTCGTCCTGCCTGTGACGTATTCATCATCATAACTGGGTGTGGCTAAGCACATGGTCTCACTCTCTTCTCCATTTTGAACAATTAAACTTTCCTTCTTCTGATTGTTTAATTTAAGCCTTCTAAATGTATCTATAACTTTGGCTGCGTGATCTAAATCATTTTTTTTTTTCCAGTAGCAATAATAACAGATGCTGGATCAGGATACTTGAATTTTTTTAACAAAAGCATTTACCATAGAAGGAGTCCTCATTGTCTAAATTAAATATCATTTTGTATACTTTAGAAAATCTATTTTTAAATTCAAAAGGATCATCATTAATCGTTAGCTCTTAAGGAGTCTAAGATTTCCAAAGAAGATTTTCCTCTCCAGTAGTAAATTTTCAATAATTGACGTAGTCGGACTCTTTGATGCATTGCTATGCATTTCCTCATCATCCTCAATATATGGCGTTTTGATTAATCTACATGCCATAACACTGGGGAGCCATAACAGAATAGAAAATTTTTCTTTGCTCCTGATTTAAACAAAAATTTATTACAAAAATTTCATAAACCTCCATGTTATAGAAAGCATCGGCGTCCATATCATAGGCTGGCATATCCTTCAAAATTTTCATGAGCTGATCAATGATTTTAAGATTAAGTTTTGCAGCTTTATTCCTTATAATTTTCTCTTACACATTTCTTCCTGATCTATAGGGTCTCCTTCTATAGACTGGATCTCTGGTACAAAAGATTTTTGTTTCTCTGCCTTAGTATTCACACAAATTCTTTTTACATCATTCTGCAGGTCAGATAACTGAATGTCTTTTGTTTGAATTGCACTTTGCAGATCATCAATTTGCTCAGTCAAAGTCTGGCAATTAGCACATACACTGCTCCTGATCTTGCTTCATTACACAATCAGCAGTCTTAGGAACATCAAAATCATGGCATAAAAACATGAACTAACTTCATTACATTTCTAACTTGTTTGAGCTCAGTTTCTTAAAGGAAAACTTAGGATTTTTTCTATCTTAATATTAGCCTGTAAGCATTCATTATACATGTACACCAGGCCAAAGTTTCATTACTTATCTTTAACAAATGTAGACAGAATTCTTGAATTCTAACTTACTCTCTCTAGATAATTCATTCAATAAAATCCATTACTTAACCCATATAAGAAGGTCTTTCTTTACATAACGCGTCTTTTCTCTCTCCTGGCGGGAAATGACATCACCAAGGAAACAGCGTTTCTTGCAATTTGCTCAAAATCTCACCAATTCTGCTTTAGGTTCTCGATTATGCGACGATTCATCTGTTGCAGACTTTACTTCTCCTGAAAGCTTGATTTTCATAGTTTGCTGAATTTGCAAACAATCTTCCCTCATCATCAAGATGAAAGAGAAAAAAGTCAAAAACATAAGCGCGATTGTCGGAAACTAATCGAACTGGAGGCTCGCCACTGTAAAATATCGTATTGTCTCGATATTTTAATTAACTTGTATTGATGAGAAATGTTTAGATAGAAAGTCCTTCCACAGCTTGTATAAAAAACTCAAAAAGAGATTTAATAATAACGTTGCATAAAATTAGAAATAAAATATTGGCATACAAGAAATGTTAAATAATGTCCAAAAAAATATAGTTAAAGTTCTTGATAATAAGATTGTATATATGTATATGTGTGTGTATGTGTGTGTGTATGTCTGTCGCATCAAGGCTGCTAAAAACAGAGTGAGAGAGACTCAAACCTTTGTTCTACTCTTAAAAGAGCAATCCAGTCCCCCAATCTTCCTAAAAGTTGGGTTGGTATTCTCTTTGTAGTTCTACTAAGATAATTGCTTCCTCACAAAGTCTGAGTGTAACATTAATCCTCTTACATATTGATGGAGGGACGGCATGGGGAAGGTATAGCTAATTGCTCTCATATGATGGCTTTGAATGTAAAGGAAAAACACCAAGATATATGTTCACAGACTCACTGAAGTCTAATTCCTTACTTTTCCCCAATCTAGAACAAAATAAAATATAATCAACTCAATTATTCTATTAAGATCCAACTCATTCAACTTATGTTAGTAACTGTTAATAAGAAGATATTTAGATATTGGGTTAAGGAAAGCTTCTAACAACAACCTATATACACAGCTCAAAAAAAATTAAAGGAACACATTTGAAAACACATCAGATCTCAATGGGTAAAAATAATAATGCTGGATTATCTAGTACTGATATGGACTGGGTAATGTGTTTAGGGAAACGTAAGGATGGAAATGAAAATTATCAGCCTACACAGGACTTAATTCAAAGACACTCCGAAAAAAAGTGAAAAAATTAGATGCAGCAGAGCTAGTCCATTTGCGGAAATTTCATTACAGCAACTCAAAATGGGCATGGCTCCTAATGAGAATGATGTGATGGTGCCTCTGGGGTATTTCCTCCAGATCTGGACCAGGGCATTCACTGAGCTCACCTAGGACAGTCTGAGGTGCAACCTCCCAAGCGTCGGATGGACCAAAACCTGATATCCCGGAGAGTAGTTTTATTTTCATTTAGGTCAGGCAAGCGTGGGGGCCATTCAGGTGGTAATCACAAAATCCTTCATCCTCCAGGAACTGGTCTGCATACACTCTCTGCTACATGAGGCAGGGCATTGTCGGGCACCAGGAGGAACCCAGGACCCAGTGCACCAGCGTAGGGTCTGACAATGGGTCCAATGGCCTAATGGCAGTCAGGGTGCCGTTGTTTAGCCTGTAGAAGTCTGTCGTCCCTCCATGGATATGCCTTCCCAGACCATCACTGACACAAACCACCAAAATGGTCATATTGAATGATGTTACAGGCAGCGTAACATTCTCCATGGCTTCTCCAGACCCTTTCACATCTGTCACATGTTATTGCCAAAAAAAATGGTCACTTTGATAATTATTATAGCTCAGTGAATTCAGCTCACGGCTTGTAAATATTACATTTTCATTGCTGTTAGAGCCTGCTGGAATATTAGTTCTCCATTGTGTTTTGCTGTGCATACAATTTAAAGTGGTTTTAAAGTGTTAAGGTTTTTTTTTTTACCAGCGCCAATCAATACATTGTGAAGTAACATAAATATATGTATGTAAACTGAAAGGGTCGATTTTCTTTATCCCCTCAGAGACCCCCAATCTGTGGAGAGGTTCCTGGTTATCAGCAGAATTCTGGGAACACCCTATGAACACGGAATAACGGCAGGCAGCTTATGTTCAAAGATGTTCAAAGTTTATTAGACACTGCTTAGATTATAAAGGGTACAGAACAAAGAAATAAGGGAGGGGGAGCGAGTTTCAAAAGTGCAACTTGTAACTTTCCATCATGAGCTGACTACATGACATATGACATATACTTTTCCTGGTATAACCATTTTCAGCTAGCTTTCTGAGAATCAGTTGACCACAGACTCTCAGGGACATCTTATCTTTGTTTATACATCCTTCAGAAAGTTGAAACAATTTCCTTAAACTTCTAATATATCTGCAAAAAAACAGTTTAATACTTAAAATGGTGTACATCAACAAAATGGAGGTTATCCAGATCTTTCATAAACAAGCATATTATTGTGCAAAACCAACCACATATTGTGCTATACACCAAATTGCTTTGAACAGTGCTATGAGAAAAAATCCAAACAATTATATAATCCTCTCTGTAAGGTCTCATGCACACAAAATGTTAATGTGTTACTAAAACCCACAACAGTAAAATCAGTCTGTATATGCAGCAAATCATGTTTGTTATACTCGCTGTGGAACCTAAGGGGTTAATCCTCTGCATTGTGTAAAAAGGATGCTTGATCCTGAATTCTATGATCCTCCCCTTCTTCCAATGTCCCCCTCTTATCTCCTGATAAGAGATATTATGTGGAGTCACTCTGCACATGCTCAGTTTGGTGTGTATTGCTAGAGAGGTGTATTTTTTTTTATCTTGGGAGAGTGCATGTGATCAGCACAGGGCCAATCAGAACTGCCCAGACAGATGTCAGAGGTCCTGCATCCAAATGAAAACTCCACCTACAAGCTTTAACATGTGCTCTGCTGGACAATGGACAAAGTCACAAGACTGCTATATACCGCTGATGAAAAAAGGTATTTAGCAGTTTATATTTACTAAAATAATTGCATTTCCGTGTTCTGTGTACTGTGGAAGACCGGATATAGTGAATGCAGGGTCCTGGGTTTAGTAACACTTTAAAAAAACTCTCCTAGAAGTCTTCCTCCTGCCAGCAGTGTTTTTGCAGAAATGCTTGCAGAATGCTTTTACAAGCATTTAGGCGCATTTACAGGTGTCAAGCACTTGTTCGTTAATTAATTTACTTGACCAGAATAATAATTTATTCTGGCCATTGAAATTAATTAACACTCAAGCGCTAAATGCACCTAGTGTTAACAAGCGTTTTTGATGCGTTTACACGTGTCAATGGTTTGTTGGCTAAAATGCTGCCGCACCTGGACTCACTGGCCCTGGGGGTTTTGTTCCTGCCTGCAAACACTTCTGCCACTAAAATCTCCTAAAAGTCTATTTGTGTATGGACACAGGATAGCATGGACGGTCATTTACAAGCAGTAAAAACAATGCCTAAAAGTGGCTGCAAAAAACACCCTGTGTACATGAGGCCTAAGCAGCACCTTTCTGCTACTTGTTCACTGTCCACTTGCAGACTCAGTGTTAGCTATGGGGAGTTAGCTAAATTTCTTTTAGTTAGAGGCTGGTATGAGTCAGCCTGGGATGAATCAGCCAGGTAACTTGAGGTCAGGGCTGAGGGATCTGCAGGTCAGTTCCCTGATACCTCCCCCTGCTCTAGAAGCTTGAGAAGCTTCTAAAAGGCAGTGGGTGGGGGTGAGGAGGGGCTGATCTGCATGCTCAGGGGACTCTGAGCAATCCCCATGCAGGAGGCTTGGCATGGGGTCAGGGCACCCTTTAATTATGAGAGAGCCTGATCAGGAATTGGTCAGCATTGGGTGGAAGATGCTGTGAGAGAGCTGGAATGTAGAGCCTGGAATAGGGCCAAGGGAAGGGCCTACTTGCAGGCAGGAGCTGGGAAGGAAGGCCTCTCAGCTTCAACCATCCCCTGAGAGAAGACAGACTTAGAAGCAAAGAAGGAGCCAGCCCAGCTTAAGGCCTGAAGGCAGCCATCAACCCACAAAATTACAGGAGAGGACTGAGTGAATAGTTTTGCACAACCTGGGCTGGATAGGGGGAGAGGGCAGTCAGGTAGCAAACCCAAAAAGCTCCTCACCTGCAACTGCTTTACTGAAATGTCAGCTTTTGGGTCCCCTTGCCCAGGTATTCCCTCAGGCAGCTGGGTGAAAAGGAGAATTCATCTAGGGTCTGAGGAGGTACATCAGAGAGAGCTGGAATGCTCTCAGACCAGAGACATTCTTTTTGTCCATAGACTTGTATATAGTTACTGGGGGAGTTGTCCTCTCAGTTCCACGTTCCTTGGGCCTCCCATGCATGACTCAACCCTATCCAAGTTCAATACCCTTTTAATAAAGTACAAAAACAAGCCTAAGGACTGGTTACTTTCTCCAGTGTGCAAGTGTGGAGGAAGAAAATGTGTGTTGCCTAGATGTGCAGATCTGTACAGAGAGAGATCCCAAAAGTAAGCGACTCCTAAGGGTAAAAAAAAGTCTGTATGTAGTTCAATAGTGTATTTATCTCATCTTTAAGTTCTATTACAGGAGAGTTTTCACCTTCATGAAGTAAGCAGTACCGATGAGCGTAGAATTATCTGCTGTGGGACAGATAATGAGTGAAGCCCTATGTTACGGTTCCATGAGGCTTTGCACAATGTTTGTAAATGCAAATGCAGTCATGATCCACTTTTCCCATGTTGTGAATATTTGGAGGCAGAAATATTATGGGGCAGCAATCTGAGTACATTTATAGAGTGTGTAAAATCTATGTACTTATTTACAAACACCTTTAAGCAACATTATGCTTTTTACAGTTTATGTTCATAAACGATCTCGGGTACCAGCTTATAAATGCTTTCTAAAATTGTTCTTTATAATGTACACATTTATAAGCTTTGCTGAATATTAGAAAAGCTCTATTCAAATAAATGTTGTAGTTCATTTACTTACAGGGAACTGTGAATATGTCACGTACCTTAGATAGTGAGCCTGACATGAAGAGGCAGGCCTCCCGTACAGCTCCTGCTTGTGGGCTACTGGTAATGGGACAGTAGCCGCAGGACCACGGCGAGGTATGAGTGCCTGTGATCAGTGCAGTAGTCTGTGTGTCAGCAGTAGTCAACAGGCAGGTGAAGCAGCAGGACAGGCTGAAGGCAGATAACCTGGCACGGATCTCGGCTGTCAGTTGGTTGTAGACTTGCAGCAGGGAGCAGGATCCAAATGCAGATTTGCAGGGCTGATGAGCTGTAGTGAGCAGGATGGAAGATGTGAGGTCAGACAAGCTGGGTTGGTAACAGTCGGGCAGATCAAGCATAGATGGTAGACGGCAGAGTAGTCAGGTCACAGGCCAGGTCAGCAGCGGAGGTTCAATCAGACAGGAGCAGGAGACAAAAGAGAAATCCAAGACAAGCCAGGGTCAGGGCAAGTAGCAGACAAGCAAAGATCAGAAACAAGCCAGGTTAGTATCGGGTCAGGCAAAAGAATCAGGAACACACTCAGAAGCTGTAGACCAAACAGCAATGAGACAAAGCTGAAGCCTATTTAAATAGCCTTTTCTTCACCTGCACTATGGGCAAGCCTTTCCTGACAGAATTTATTCACTCTTGAGAAGAGGAGATTAAGGGGGGATATGACCAACATGTATAAATACATCAGTGGTTCATATAGGGAACATGGTGTAGAGCTATTCACCCTGAGGTCATCACAGAGGACAAGGGGCACTCTTTACGTCTGGAGGAAAAGAAATTTAATCTCCAAATACGGAAAGGTTTCTTCACAGTAAGAGCTGTGAAAAATGGAATAGACTCCCTTAAGAGTTGGTTCTGGCCAGCTCAGTGGATTGCTTTAAAAAAGGCCTGGATTCTTTTTTGGATATACAGAATATAACTGGTTACTAACATTTATAGGTAAAGTTGATCCAGGGAATATCCGATTGCCTCTCGGGGGATCAAGAAGGATTTTTTTTCCCCTGAAGGAACAAATTGGATCATGCTTTGCTGGGTTTTTTTGCCTTCCTCTGGATCAACTAGTATAGGATTATAACTTTTTTATTTTTAATGGTTGAACTGGATGGACTTTTGTCTTTTTTCAGCCAGACTAACTATGTAGCTATGTAATGATTGATGCTTCTGTGTGGGCTTAGCCCCACACAGCCACGTTGTTTTCAAAAAGTGACAGTGGGTGCCCATCACAGAGTGGGGAGCACTGGCAGAGGGAGATGGATGAATAGAAGCATGTTATATGTTATACCCTAAATATCAGTGTAATGTAACATACTCCAAGGTGAACTTAGCCTTTAAAGCATATTAAACACAAAAGCAAAACATTTATTATATTGCAGCTTATCAATTCTTAGATGTGACGGCTGTATTAGTTTCCTTTTTAGGCTTTCATCCTTCTATTTTCATCTTTCAATCAGCCAGCAAGTCTGCTATTTTTCAGATGTTCAAGCTCTCCAGCAGAATTTATCAGTTTACAGGGACAACCTATTTATCACTGGCAAGCGTAAAGTGATTAAAATGATCTGCTTTTATTTATTCATGTAAAACATAGTTGCATAGTTACATGGTAAGGTTCAAAAAAGACATCAGTCCATTCCAGTTCAACCTGTGTGGATGTGTGTGTCTATGTCAAAACCATTTCCCATATCCCTGTATATTGAGCTCACATTCATGCCCATCTAAAAGTTTTTTTTTAATTATCAACGCTCTTCATTGACACAATGTCAGGGCAGGGCTGTGGAACGGACAGGTAGGCCTAGTGGCAGGGTAACGCCCTGACTGACGACAACCACCACCAACAGACCGAAGTCCCTCAAGGTGCGGAGTCTAAGTCCCAGGCTGCCCTTCACCAGGGCCCCTGATGGTGGGGATGGACTTGACGCAACCAGGAACCAGGTTGCGGCCCCCGAGACACCCCAGCTGTGGTAATGGCCACCAATGGCGTGTAGCTGGTAGGAAATGACAATAGCGTAGTCAGGCAGGCCGGGTCGACAACAACGGGACAAAACGGTACAGAACAGTAGACAAGAATCACAGGTCACAGGCCGGGTTCAGCAACGGAAGGTCAGATCAAAGGAAAACACAGAGAATGGTCTAGTCACAAGATGAGTCAGATACCAGAAGAGTCACGAGAGTATACACAGAGCTGTAGCAAGACAAAGACACAAGTGCAAAGAGCATGTGCGGAACACAGGCTTATGTGTACTCAGCCACACCCCTCTGGGGGATGGACCTCAGAGACCTGAAGGCATAATAGACTCCCACCATGCTCTGCAGAAACCCAAGATGGAAGCCAGTACATGAAGCCGCACAGTCTCTGGAAAAGGTAGGACCTTGACACACTGCCAACTGTGGAAAGGAGTTCCACATCTTTACCGCTCTAACAGTAAAGGTTAGAGCCGTAAGGTTAAACCAGTAACATTACACCAAGCAGTTTATGGTTAAACTGATTCTCATCCAACTTCATTGAGGGCCATGTGTTTTCCTTATTGACCTGTGACTGAATAGTTTGCTCCCCATGCTAGAATTACCATTTAGATATTTGTCGATTGCAATCATATCTCCTCTTATGCGTCTGTTCTCCAGGGAGAAGGTCCTCCAGCCTCCTTATTAGTTTAGTTGCCCATCTTTGGACTCTCCAGCCCTCAGGAAGGATGTGCTGGAGAGCAGAACTGGATACCATATTCAAGATATGGCAGAACCAAAGTTTTGCAAAGTGATAGAATTATAGTTTTATCTCTTGAATAACATTTATCCCAAAAGGAACAAAAAATGGAGTTTGACATCAGTTTGTTATTGTTT